TATCAAGATCTGATGGATATTCCAGAGGAAATTGCCATGCTATTTGAAAAGCATGATACAACTTTTAATGTTCTGATGTTAATATCCCATTTCTTTCACAGAACTTGCAAAGCAACAAACACAAGGCCTCCCTTTTCCTCCCGAAGGAGGTCACTTCACTTCTTAGCTGAATTTACTTTTTTGGCTATCCGTCACTTCTACTGTAACTTAATTTAATAAACTGCTGTCACTTAAGTAAAACCACACAATGAAGAAAAGTTTCTACCGTATCTAAAAGTTTAAATTCTAACCATGGAAGAAGTCAAAACTGAATCTAATTGTCTTTGCAAAGACAAAAGAGCATGATTTTCACATGCTGATTTTTGTGGACAAGAAGTAGGAACCCATTCTGTTTTAAGCAAACAACTAAAACAAAACTCAGCTCTTAGTCCAAACAATTTGGCAAAAATTCTTTAAGTTGTTAATTTGTATAATCAAGTTTTAACCAAGAGCAAACAGAAGACCAAAAATTCTGACTTAGGCTTAAATTGTTAGGATAATTTCTAATTACATTCAGAAAATAAGTGGGAAAAATTGAATGAAGATGGCAAAAAAATACTAACTTACTCAGAATTTTAGTAGTCAATAATTCTGAGAGAGCTGTTTTGGGGCAACCACCAGTGAAATCAGGTTCTATCAGACTAAGACTGCCACTTGTCATTACTATCTCATATATTTTACTATCAAATAGCTGTGAATCATGTTTGAAGTGTCATAGAAATATAAATGCTACTGATGTAATCAAAATTATAGAAGAAAGCTGGGAGAAACAGATAATATAGATGAGTGCACTTGTGTGTGGGGAGAGAAATGGATGAGAAAGATCAACAGATAAAATTTAAAGTAAAAAAAAGTGAAAATGTTAAAAAAAAAAAAGGAACAACAACAACAAAAAAGAACAAGAAGAAAAAAAGGAAAATTTAAAGTCAAAATATGCAGCAAGACAAGCATGCTATTTGGTGATATGAAGGTCTATACGGAAAGAAAATCAGCAGGGCTTGAAAGTGATTGCTTCAGTTATGAAACCATCTTGGGAAAATGAGTCGCTGATCGTGGAGGTTCAGGCCACAGTCCTACAGGAGATCAAGGCCAATGGGCATAGTGGTCCATGAATGCTCTATACTTTGCTAAGTAGTGACTGTGATCTTAAAACCTTGTCAGCAGCCAGCTAAGAAGCTCCATCTCTTCATGACTGGAGAAATAAAGAGTGAAGAGAATAAATGATGCGTGTAAAAAATTAGTCTAGTGGGCTACTGGACCATAACATTACAGCGTACACAACCCTGATATCAAAAGAATTGTAAGATGTCTGGCTACCACCACTAATTGCTCTAACAAAGATCACATTAGAAGGTTCTGGACAGACTGGGGAAATTATGGAATAAAACTCAAGAAGAACTTACTGGCTGGGTAGAAACTGGTGGCACCCCCAGATTATGGCCCATCATCACCCTTCAGGTCTGGAATTGAACTTACCCTCTTGGCTCAATTTTGGCCAAATAACAAGACAGGTGTATAAAGGGAACAATAAGAATCATTGAAGGATGTACTCCTTCAAATGAGCCACTATTTTGAGGTCAAAAGGACAGCATTTACCCAAGGGTGAAGTTCAGAAGGTTGAAGAGAGGAGAAGGAACGGAAAAGGAAAATACAGGTACAAGTGGGATAAGCGATATTACTGTGACAACTGCAATCAATGGCATGAACAAAACATATGAATTGTTGAATAGGAAACTGATCTGCTCTGTAAAGATTCACCCAATTCAGAATAAGAGGTTGAATAATAATTTAAAAGAAGACAGTGGGTGCCTATGGAGTGTAAGCATAGGAGATGAGGGTTTCATGACAAACATACTGTTCTCTCCTTTAGATGATGTACATGTAAAACTCTGGTTAAGAAACAGGAAGCAACAATGGGATAAAATGTTGACATAAATGTTCTCAGCTATATAAAGCTAAGTCTTATTTTCTTAAGTTTTAATCATGGCAAATTAACTTTGACTTTGCTTATACCCTAAGTGCCAGATATAACTTTTACATAATGGAATGATTTCTATTGTCCATCACACTTGGCATCAACTATCAAAACTGTGCTGAAGTCAGTATTTTCCTTCCAGGGATCTCTTTCCTTTTTCGGTTCCCCATCTCTTTCTATCAGAAGGCCAAAGATTGATCATGGCCTCCGGGAACTTTTCATTCTAGAAAAAAAAAAAGAGTCCCATGAGACTAACAAGAAGAATACAAAGAGTTTTCCTAATAGGAGAAGTTTGGTATAACAATTCTTTTCTGGAACTACTCATCCTTCACAGTTCTTTAAGGAACATTATTTTTCCTTTGGTTTACTGACACACATAATTTACATGTGTTTTATAATGTAGAGGCCACTGAGTTGTAATTACTCAATTTTAGAAAGGCAGTTCTTCACACACAAATTGGCAAAGAATCGATTCTGCAAAGTGATCTTGTAAGACACAGAACTGCCCCATAGTGCTCCCAAGGCTGTAAATCTTTACAGGAGCCTGACATATCCTCCCACAAAGAAGCTGATGGATTTAAACTGCTGACCTTTTAGTTAGCAGAATGCTTTAGCTATCATGCTACCAAGGCCTGCTACCTGTTCACAGTCAGAATTAGCCTCTTGGTCTGCTTGTCAAAAATTACAAATCTATTTTCAGCCAAGTACGATAGTCCATAATTTCCAGTAAATTTATACAAGTATATAATATTTCTAATTTATTGTTGTTAAATGCCATCAAGTTGGTTCCAACTCATAGCCTGGTCCTATACCATCCTCACAATCTTGTGTTTGAGCTTCTGGTTTTAGAGAAGTGAAAATTAGTAGTACTTTGGTAATTAAATTTCATCACTTAGCATATTAGGCTAAGGAACAGGTTTTAAACTGAAGGCTAATAAAATAAATGATTGTATCAAGATGACATATGCTTAATGTCACTTACAGAGAAGAAAAGGGAACGAAACTAATTTACGTCACTATCAAAGGCACAATTGGTCTCTACTCACAGAAATAGGAGGAAATTCAGCGCGTGGCTAATTGCCTGCACAAGCAATTGCTTCCTATGCCGTGAGGTTAGATGAATCAGATGGTGCAGGTTCTACTGCTGAACATTTAGAGCAAAGTTTTACAGAAGAATCAACAGGGTGAAAAGAAACAGATTTTCAAATTCTCATGGCCTCTCGACTTTCTAGAACCATCACAGCTGGAGATACTCCTGAAACTATTACCCTGAGATAATCCTGAAACCAAAGCCAATAATGACCCTTCAAGTCTTCTTAGAACCAAACACAATGTGAACTTATATCACTGAAAGGAATAATTCAGAAAAGGAGGTAAGAACAAGTCAATGAAGATAATCGGTTATCCCTGTTTAGCAATTGTTGAACTGGCATATGTGTTGCTGTTTATTATCTGGAACAACATATAATCTTTGAAATAAATATTTTTAGGCAGTGATTCTTCATTACTCTTACTCATTTCCAATCAATCACTGATGAAAAAGTAGCAAATTAGCAATCGATTGGTCCCTTCTAGAGTTCTAAGACTGTAGATCTTTACAGAAGCCAATAACTTCACCTATTCCTCGTAAAGCAGATGGTGGATTTGAACCACCAGTTTGGGGTCAGCAGTACGACACTTGACAATACCACCAAGGCTCTTTTAATTACAAAATAAGGCCTGTCAAAACCTTTATAAATTTCATAGTGGTTAAAAAAGTAGTTACGTAATTTCAAGTCAAGGAGGGGAAAACTGTTCCCTTTACTGCCATCCACTATCTTGAAGCCTTTGAATGTGACCCTTCTAAAACCTCCCTACAACTTTTCTAAGATAGATCATTTTTTCTCCTTGTAGAATTTTGATAAATAAGGAACCTGAATATTGTTTTTGAACAATTGAAAAATTTCAATGACACAAAAAACACTATGCAATGCTTCTAGAGAACATTTTATGAAGTACCAGCATGTGGAAAGATAGCTGAATAACAGAAGAATTAGTTACCAATTAAGACCCACGATGTACATGTTGCTTTCTGCTTACCTAAAGTTTTTCACATGGTCTTCCACTCCAGACAGACGAACGGAATGCTGCAAAGCGTTCAGGTAAGTCAGAGCTTGTGTAGAGGAGCCCCAGTTCACATCTGCGGGAAGAAGAGCTCACTCATGTAGGGCAACAGTATTAACACCCAATCAGTAACTAATCTGATACACACAGAGCTAACAACGCTTTCATACGTTAAAAATCTACTGCTATTATTAAACCATTGTACCTGGAACTTTTATCAAGGTCGACCACTTTATACCAAATGCTAAGCTTATTTTACCATTCCTACATTTAAATAAAAATGTATAATTCAGAAAAGATTTACACGCAACTGGTTTAGAGTTCTTCACCAAAAAAGCATGGGTTTTTATTGTCTGTAAATACATAAAAAAGTCCAGTCGAAGGGAAAGAGGCATAGTAAACACGTTAAGTAGAGCATTTAATTGCTTAGGTTGTGTCAGCAAGTAGATTTCACTTCTTACTAAAGAAAAAGAATTTGGAAACCAAACGGTTTTAGAAATACGTTATTTGGGAGACCAAATAGGCAAATTAGAGAAATAACTACTTCTAAAATGGTTAAAATAATAGCTTCATTATATATTTCATTTCCAGAGTCACCATTCTATTCTAAGACACTTCATTTCTCCTATCTGGATTACAAAATGCCTCCGACTGTTTAAAATTACTGCTTTGCAAACACGATCTCTTCACTTCCAGTCTTTCCTACTGGAGCTTAATGTCTTAATACTGAACACTGAGTTAGTGTTAACATGCCCTAATATTACCCTCTTCTCTAGAAATTCCCCAACAAGATATACAAGTAATCTTTAACTATTCTGGAGTTAAAACATGTTTTTTCCCATGTTCCCAGCTACACAGAGACCAGTGGGAACATACTACGTATCTTCTAATATTTTGTGAATTACATGATTCTTACTACAGTTCTAAAATCACAGTAGAAATCACACATGCTTGTTAGGTTAATAACCTATAGTACCACAAATCTGAACTTTTTCAAAGAGTAATTGTAAAATACAGTATATTGAATGAAGCTGAATAGTATATGAATTTTGTATTTTTCTGTAAGTAATATTAGTTAAGTTTAATTTTGGGTAAAAATGAAATTGCACAGGAATAAAATGCTTCAAAATAATCTTCTGATTAAAGCTATCTGCATTTGGAAATGAAGAGTATTTCCGGTTTAATACACACAACAAACATATCTTTCAAATCAGTGTTTTAAAAATTCTAGTTTTCTGGCTTGAAATACTAAATAGTAAAAGCTACTGACCTGGTTTTTTGTAGGTAACATAAATATACAGCCCGAGGACTATAACATATGTAAGTAATGCGGCCCACCAGTTGATGACAAACATTACTATGCAACAAAGAATTGCTCCAATAAGTGATATCCACATGTTGTAGTATTTGAATGCAGGACGCCAACCTAACAACAACAACACACAAAGTGATTACATACTTTCATTCACCGACTCACCTGTTTTTATAGTGCTACATGTGCGTGCTCAGAATAAGTTTTAATAAGAGGCTACCACACCACTGATTTAAAAGAATTAAATGTAAGGCTAACACATACCAGTAATGTCAATGGTGAGGAGCTCTGGTGGCACAGTGACTTATGTGTTGGGATGCTAATCACAAGGTCAGCAGTGTGACCACCAGCCCCTCCAAAGGAGAATAATGAAGCGTTCTACTCCCATGACAGTCACAAAAAACCACGGGACAGTTCAACTCTGGACCCTACAGTCACTGTGAATCAGAATCAACTGAAAGGGAGTGAGCTTGATGTTTCTGAATGTTAATGACGACTACTGATCACAATCGAATCTTAAGATGTTAAAATTCTTGGATGCCACAAATGGGGTGATGCATCTATTCACTTTGACATTATTCTACTTCACTGGTCTCGCATTCTGACACTCTTCACAAAAAGGCCATATGCAAACCAACTAAGCCCAGTGAATGACAAAAAACTACAGGTTTAAAAATGAAGCAAGGTTTCAAATCGAGTCCATGATTTTTGACTCAACTTTTGGTTTTAACACACAAAACAACCAAACACTAAAAAATACATCTGTACAAAATGATTCACACAAAATATTCATGACAACAATTTAAAATTCATCCACTTGCTAGAGAAACTAAAAGCTGACAATAGAAACAATTATGAATTACGCCCACTCTAAAACAAAATTTGTAATCATGTTTTTAAATTTCAGTAAGGGACAATTAGTATTCATATGCTTTTGACCCTAATTCTATGAAGCAACTCCCTCACAGATAGTTCCAGAGAAAAAATATCTTTAAAGAACATTTCATTATATTTTAATACTGAAAGTTAAAATATTTATATGTCCAAAATCATCCTAGTTTATTTTTCCTGCTGTGTCTTTTCACCTTTTCATCATGTTTTTGCTCCTTTATTATCTTTTCTGATTTGCTACTGTCATTTATTCAAAAGAGCCATTTCGTTGACAGACTTAGAACTTGCTGCATTCAAACTTCTGAAAGGGTTCAATCACACCAACCCAATGCCAGTCAAAGCCGATACTCATTCACAGGGACCCTAGAGGGCTTGCTAGGCTTTTCTTTTTGTAGAAAGAGATTGTCATATTTTTCTCCCTTAAAACTGGTGGGTTTCAACCACCATTCAGTCTGTAATTGGGAACTTAACCAGTGCGCTACCAGGGCTCCGTCTGAAAAGGTTTACAAATGTGTACAGTTTCTCAATCTGTTAGGCAAATCTGTATAAGTTGTAATAGTCAGATACCTAACCACAAATAGTCAAACATTTCCCTTAGTTTTTAAACATATATTGTATGTTAAAAAAAGAAGTATATATGTTTGTTAGTATTTGGCTATGCTTGGTGTTGTAACCAAAAATTAAGCTCTATTAATAAGGATTCAATTTATAACCTTTCTTCTTTGTTAAACCTTCACTGTACGCTACTTCAAAAATTAAAGACATATTCTCAGATACAATATCTTTAACATAAAAATACAGCAATAATGTTTTGATATGTGCAGCCAAGTTGTGTCATTTGTTATTACAAACCATTTATGTACCATACTTTTAATATGATAAAAGTTTATAACTACAGGTTATACTTAAGTCTGATATTCCTAACCCTGGGAATGCTAGTATGTAATAATAAAAATCTTAGAATGTAAGTATGTAAAATCTAGTATGTAAGAATAAAAATCAATTAAACAGAAATCAGCTAAATAAGTATGGGGGGAGGAAAGGAAAATGAAGTTATCATTGATAACTTTAGTCAGAATTGAGAATTAATGCTATCTTAAATACTTTGAAGATAGTTAAAATTATCCATAAATGTCATAATTTCTTTTAAGAATTACACAATACTGCACAAAGACAGATTAAGCTTCAATGAACTAATACCAGACACATCTTTTAAAATGCGTTATTTTTCCCCTCTGAGATAAAAAACATTATCAACATTTATGAAACCTTTTGAAAAACGTAAAATCACCTGGCGATTTTGCTAGAGATGCATGGAACACTGAGAAGTTGATCAGTGCATACGATGCTAAGAAGAAGTTAGAGATAATTGGAGCGATGACATTCAGTTCAGCTGCAAAAGAAACATCCCTTTAATGACATAGTAGGCATTCTGACAGCTTAGATAATGATAAAATGAACACCCCCCCCATCCCCCGTGTCCCCATTCAGATTTAATAAACATTTAGATTTGGGCCGCATGTGCCACAGCTTTTACTTTATAAAAACCCACCCTTTTTTAGGTTAAAATGTATTATCAAAATGTTATATTTGTAAGAGCTCCCAATAAAATGATTAATTATTAATAATAATAAAAAAGAATGTTTTGAAACCAAATTGTGGTAGCAATTTGTTTTTTTTACAAAAAGAAATTAATATCATATGATAGCAGTTTGGGCCCATTTTGAATTTGTTCCACTTTTTAATATTCTCTTTCTTTTCGACTAAGGTTTCTTCTGTTTTCTCTCATTTTAAAAAATTTTTTATTTTTTGGTTTCTTTTTTCTGTTTTGAATGTTTTTCTATATAAGAAATCCAGAGTAAGTAAATCAGAGAGTGGATTAACAACTACTGAGCTGTGTGATATGTGAATTATACAACTATTTAAAAAAGAAATCTATCTTTAAATAGAGTGCAAATCATCTTTATAATTCACTATTCTGAAATTAATATATTCTTTCCATTCATAAGGCAAAGATACACACATAATCCAAGAATTCTATGTGGTCTTAATTTTAGTGTTTTAATGAAAAACTACATGAATAATATATCACTTTCCAATAAGACTTTGAACTTCACCCACATTAACACATGAAACCACTATAAATCCATTATTGACTGCTATATACATTTTCTCAGTTTCATTATTCATTGAATATGTATTTAAGTTGTTTCCACAATTTTCACTATTGACATAAATGATACTATGAACAATTTTACAGCTGTTTCTTGGACATATATGGAGATTTTCTAAAGTCTAGTCAAATACATACTTACCAACATTACATGAAAACTTGTTCCCACACACTCCCTAAAACTGAAGTGTTATTATCAGATTTTAATGTATAATATTCTGAGTGGTTAGATGATATTCTTTAAAACTTAAAGGTGTAATGTATTTTTAGCTATTTAAGGTCCATTTGCTTGAGATCAATGGGCAAAAGTGACCAAAAAATGGTTCATGGAGGTTCCACTTTTATGGAGGACATTAAGATCCTTATCTTGATGTAGGGGCACACTTTTAAGGACATTAAGATCTTTATCGTGATGCTGGTGGCACCTTTTTTTAGGAGCAAGAAAATTCCTAAGAAAACTCCTTCTTGTCCTAATGATAAATTAGTAATGGTAATTTTAACATATTCATCAGAAAAAAACTACTCGTATTCCACACGAAGTAAATTTGTTTATAATTGTGGTAGTTATATACGGTTTCCAATTTGAGAGGATAAAGAGTGAAGGGTGGAGTTTGGCCTGTCATCAGGTCACAGTTTTATGACCTCATTTGGAGGCACTAAGGAGATAAATACCTCCCTGGAGGCAAGACACATGCTCACTCCCTGAGGGACATTTCTGATGAGAAGCCACATGAAGCTAGCCTGATGCAGCCAGAGGCCTGGGAGCAGAAGGGGACAAGTGGAGACCTCTGCCAGCGCTGAGATGCTTACAACACCACTGGATCCACAAGACTTCCCAACCATTGGCCTGTACTCTTCCTGCACTCGGTATCATTGAACGTGTTTCCTGAGTCTGAAGAGGACTTCATAGAATGGTATCGGACATATGAGCTAATATCAGACTTAAGGACTTGATTGGGACTGGGCTAGGATGTTTTCTCAATATTCAATAGCTCTTGTATATAAAGCTCTTTCCTATACACAGGAGTGTCTATGAATTTGCTTTTCCTGTCTACTCAGACTAACAAAATAATTTAATAAATTAATGTTTCCAACTAATATTAAAAGCATATCAAATTTTACATTTGTACACCATTTATATGACTAACCAATTAGGATGAATCCAAGTGCAATCAAGAAGGTTAAGATGTAGCCACGAAGAGGTTCATTGTTCTTCCCATAACCTTGAGCAAACATCTGGAAAGCTGGGTAGATGTTATCCTTACACAGGGCCTAAGGAAGAGATATGAGCATTAAGATAGGATATACTGAAATTAAATACATATACAAATTTATTTGCAGTTATGCCAATCCAGGAAAGTCATCCAAGTTTCTAATTACTGGTCTTCTTTTTCCTGTCTCGCATTACGTCGTCACCTGGTCATTGGTGTGAACCCCAAGTATAAAGTTTAAGCTTTATAAAACAAGAACTATAAAACTTAATCATTTTCTTGAAAAAAATCACTCAATATGGTTTAAAATAGATATTTTCCACCTTTACTAGGCTCTTCTACAACATTAAGAATGAGGATGAAGAACCTGCATTTCATTTGTTTGAGTTAGTAAGTAAAGTTCATCAGCTGCTTTTGTTGAATGTTCATTAAAGGAAGAGAATGTCTACCCTAGTCAATACTTTTCCCTTAATAATAACCAGAATTTATGGCATAATTTCATACAATAAAGCATTTCAAAAACAGACCATTTTGGTTAGCATCATGCTTGTTGGGATAAAATACTCTGATCTATGAACTTAGTTTATTAACTTATGCTAATAATATATCAGAATGGTAAAAATGCATTACTAGATTTAGAAAGACAACATCCCAATAATTAGTCAGTGTACAATGAGTCAGTTTATAAAGGCGGTCTTGAAGTTATGAAGAAGATCCCTTCCTCTTTTAAATTAGAATTTGTAGCTAAGGAGGAATAAGCAAGTATAGTTCTCATTTAGCATTATTTAGCACAGGAACGCTTAAAGGCTTCTCAGTTATTTAAAGCTACTGTATATACTCGAGTATAAGCCGAGTTTTTTTTTTTACCACATTTTAAATGCAGGTTTTGTGGTAAAATTAGGTGCCTTGGCTGATATTCAGGTCGGCTTATACTAGAGTATATATGGTACGTTTTAAGAAAGTGGTGATTATGGTGAAGATTTTACCAATAGGGGTCGTCTCAATCATTTGAAAGTCAGGGTGAGTTTACCAAATCTTAAAAGGTCAGTACAAGTTTTCCATCAATCAGGTTTGGTTTGTAACCCCTGGAGTGGCTGTATACACATCATCATATACATATATGAGGTTTTCAGTGGCTACTTGCTCCGAAGTGGACATCTTATTTCTTCTTGGTAGTCTGTTCTTTGTCTGGAAACTGCTGAAACCTGTTCACGTTGGGTGACCCTGCTGGTATTTGAAATACCAATGATATAGCTTCCAGCCTCACAGCAACACACAGGCCACCACAGCACAACAGACAGACAGACAGACAAATGTTTCATTCTGTTGTACGTGGGGCCGCTACAGGTCGGAACCAACTTGACGGCACGTGACAACAACATAAAGTTGGGAGGAACATAAAAAATATGAAAATACGACAATTCTCAGTTGAAAATTACTTTAGTTCCCCCTTGAATAAAGTTTTGCAGGGTGGACAAACTCACCTGGAATATTTTGGGCGCGCTCACCAGGGATGCTAGTGCAGAAGAAAGAGTAGCTGAAAAAATACCTGCAGAGATTAATGGTGCAAATCCTGACACCATGCTCATTACCTTAAAAAGAGAAATCAAAAAGAGGGAACAATTAGTCTTACAAGTTATTCAAAACAGGGCTCACGAATGGGATTAGCTTATTGATGCTCATGAAGGAAACTGCCTGCCATTTTATGGTATCTCTAACTTGTTCTCATATGATCGAAGATAGAAAGAATATACATGCAAACCAAGATAAAGCAAATGGAGGTAAAATATAATCAACGAGTACATAGAAGAGGCACATAGTTGTTCATGGCATACTTTTCTATGTCTGAAATTTGTCAATAAACAAAATTAAGAGAGAGGAGTTGTTCGATGAGTTCATTTAGCTCGATCCATCCATTATAAGTTTCTAGAACTGTGAAGGATAATCATCAGATTCATTATTTCAGTAGCAAAGAATTATCTCTCATTGTATTGACTAGGAACATGGCAACTGAGAGCACAGAGTTAAGACAGTCATGTTAAGCTGGTTATAAGTATTTTTACATTGGATTATAATTTGATACCATAAATCAGAATCAAAGTTAGCTATGAGAACATTTTGCAATAAACTTATTCCACATGTGGATTAACCACACATTGATTTTTATACGTAAATGTCTTTTCCTGATCGATTCAGATCTTTCAGGAGACTCAGTGTTAAATATGAAGAACACATTTTTCAACTTTTAAAAACATTAGCAATGATCTTTCTGTGAATATTAAAGAAAAAAATTTCTAACTGAATTTTTTCATCTCCCAATAATATTACACTGATAGCCCAAGGAAGGAAGCCCACATTTGGCTTATTAACTGATTCATCAAAAGTTTGACAAGGAAAATTTAGACATATAAGAAACTTAAGACTATATATAAAACTTAAAACTTTAGATTTAAAAAGAGGCAGGTTACTTATCTCCCTGAAGTATAAAACGGACATTATAAAGTGTTTATTTGTCAAATTCCAAGACAGTCTCTTACTTCTATATTCCTCAGTTATGTTCTTTCATTCATCCATTCTTCATTTTCCAAATGACAGGGATTATACTTTTAAAGGCTTTACCCAAGCCCCTATTTTGTATCACTTTCTAAAATATACATATATTTAGCAATTACTTGAATTTGAACACAGTTTTAAACTAAACTCCTCTTTGCTTGAACAAGACTATTCTAGGCTTGATAACAACAACACATTTTTGTCTTTAAAGGGAACAATACAAAAGAACTGACTGGCAAAAGAACTGATTGGCACTTTTCAGTCACTGGGCAGAGCCCAATGTTTGGGCCTTTCATACACAATATCAATGTCAGAATTGGCCCGAATCATTAGCTGGGCATGAATACTTCCTTTCGTTTCTACAATATTGCCTTGTGACTAGAAAAACTTCTATTATATAATTGGATTCAGAATCATCACTGATAGCACAGTCAATATCAGTTGTTTGAAAGTATATATGCAAAAATAAAAATAGTATTATCAATAAAAATTTTATTTAAAATTCTTATATTAATATTTACATTTTGTTCTTACTAAGTTCTGTTGAGTCATTTCTGACTCAAAATGAACCTATATAAAATAAAACATGTCCTATCTTGTATGCAACATGGATACTGGGTTTTGAAATACACTAACTTCATAATGATTGCTTATTGTCTGCATACATAACTTGAAAACTTTGAGGGGCAAAATTTATACTTTCATTGAGTCAGTAGAACCCATCTATTCTATAAATTTACCACAGAATATTTTGCTTGAATCTTCTCGGTCTATACCCTTTGAGATATTTAACAGCATCTGAGCATTTATCAAGTGACTCTCAAACTAATTCTCAAGATTAACTTTAGTAATTAATTACTCCACATCTCACATTATTTTTCCTCAATTTCTAAAATATCCATAAATTTGACTGAATTAAATTTGCCTTCTCATTTAGGACGTAACAGATGTAATAGTAAACACAGCAGAAGGATAGGTACTCTCCAAATACTGGGGAATTCTAATCTTGACACAGTTCATGTCTACTTTACATTGTTTTACAATGCTCACTAACTTTCCATCGTCATTCAGAATTAAATTCTGTGGTTAAATGAGTTTTACCCCCATATAACTTTATATGGGCCATACTGAATTAACACTAATAATGATGAATATTTTTTTTAAAAAGCAATTAAAAGCATTTATGAGGGCAACCCTAATAAGAAAATTGAGTTGATTTCAGCAGGGATCATACGTTTACCATTGCACTAACATATCAAGAGAATAACGCAAATACAATATATGGAATTTGGAAAGGAAAGGTTTTCTTCATAACTTATGGGATTGTTTAAATGTACAATTTATCTATAAAAATATTTCACCTAACATTTTAAATTATTCTTTGAACTAAAAAGGCATACACTTGGTTTAAATTTTTCCATATGTTGGGAGAACTTCCTTTTCCAGGGAGATGGATTATTGTTATTTATTTCTCAAATAGAAAAACAAAAACCTGGATATTATTTATAAAATAACCAACTTGCAGACACATGTGGAATTAATATGCATTGGAATCACCTTGAGGGCGAATAGTAGTAAAGCTAAATCAATATTTAAGCATCAAATAACATAGTCCATCATAAAGGGGAAGTCAGAAAGTATTGCTAACAAGAAAAATCACAGAACCACTTATTAAACACAAATATCAAAATACGTGACTATTGCTTTTTGGCGTATCCTGGATCTAGGCCTATACATTCCTAAAGGAAATGTTTCCATCTCTCTAACCTCTTCCTGAAGAACTGTGTGTTCTTCAAGTTTTACCACACAGTAATTTCGGCATCCTCTCAAAAATCCTCACTGCCATTGAGTGGATTTGACTCCTAGCGATGCTAAGGGCCAGAGTAGAACTGCCCCTTTGTGTTTCCGAGGCTGTAAATCTTCACTGGGAGAAGAAAGTCTTATTGTTCTCCCATGAGCACCTGGTAAATTTGAACTGCTGATCTTGTGGTTAAGCAGCCCCATATTTAGCCAACTATGTCGGCAGGGCTCCTTCTTGCCATTCTCAAGTAACTAAAATCGGAATCCTTTTCAATGTTCTTTGGGTTTGGAGACCCAGAAAGAGTGTGATGGGGCAAGATTCGGGCTGCTGGGGGGCTGGAGTAAAGCATATCCTGAAATGTTGCCTTGCTGCTCTTTAAGAATGAGAAAGATGTATTATTGTGATGGGAAATGATTCCTTAGAGAATTTTTTTGGTTATTTTCTCACCAATTTTCTTAAAATTTCTTCATAGTAAGTCCCTAGGATTGTCCTGCCTCTGTTAAAAAAAAAAAAAATCTATGAAGATGATCTCTTTAGGAATCCCAAAGAAATGGTTACCACAACGTTCTACGCTGCCTTCTTTGCCTTGAATTTAACAGGCCCAGAAGATCCCCTTTGAAGGGACCTTTGTTTCGATTGCATTCTAATGGGACGAGGACAAGCATTTACTCAAAGAACTGGTCTAACTCTCAACTAATCAGAGACATGCTTAAACACTTATTGTTTGAAAGAAACCCTTGTATATATAAACTGGAATGCTACTAGCAATACTTTTTGGCTTACCCTGTATGTATATTTGTATGATGAATGTGACTATATATGCATATATTCATAAATACAACAAAATACGTAAGGGGCATAGTTACTTTTTAGACAAAAGCAAACACTTGGTGGGATTGGTTTTCTAGGTTTGAAAAATTGAAACAACTATCTTATATCGTCTTGGTCAACTAGCATAATATAGTTCATAAAATTATGTTCTACATCTAATCTGGTGACTGATGTATGGAATCTTAAAAGCTTACCACAGGCCATCTGTAACTAGTGGTTTCTCCCTGTTGGGAGCAAAAAACAAAGAAGGAAACCAGGACTCCAAAGAATCATCTCATCTATGAGACCAATACCCGCTCCACTGTCATTGCATTGATTCAGAGCCAATCTTTACAGGAACAGACCATCTCATTTTCCCCCGGAAGAGCTGCTAGTGAGTTTGAACTGCTGACGCTGAGGTTAGCAGCCCAACACTTACCTGGCAGTATCACTCGGGCTCCTTTACAAGATAGTCTACAATCACAGGTTCCCAAATTTATCTGGCCTACCACGCCCCACAGAAAAAAAATTACTCCGTGCCCCCCTGGCAATGAAAAACTTTTGTACTATAGTCCATACTCCAGGACAAATTGTAGGTATCTGATTTTGCAGGCCCCCTGGATCCTTCCAGCACCCTACAGGGGATGTTATCAATCACTTTGGGAAACACTGGTCTACATGAATCTCATGGTGCCTACCCATCACTACCTACCATTCTAAATAACAGTCACAATAGATAAACCCTGAAACAAAGTACAAAAATATGGAAAAGAACTTCAAATTCCTATAAAACAAACAACAGCCTTACTGGACTGCTTGAGACCAGAAGACGTCCCAAGATATATTACCTATTCAAACTTTGAATTGAAACTAATCCCTAAAGTCACCTTGTAGATAAGTAACAGATTGGGTCAAGAATAAAGGGGTCAGTTTCGATAGCTGGCTGTCTGACCGCTACAGAAATAAAGAATGCCCTTTAAGTGTTCTCCATATAAATATAATTTCCATGCTTACCTGGAAATTGTTCATTAGGCCATAATAGCAAGGACTGCTTTCACAAGATGAAAAGTCAAAGTTTAATTTGCAGGCTGCAGAAGTACAGTTTGTTAACTCAGTCACAATAGTGTCGTTAATGCTGCCAGTGGCATCCCGAACAACACAAGAACCTGAAGCAGAAATGACAATGAGAACAAGAGTATAACTAACATTAACGTTCATTTATGAAATATATGTACTCATTAAAAACTACACTACTACATTAACATACCTGTTTACAGTAGTATACAGTTTACAGTTAACAACTAGAATGACTACTGTGAGTAGAATTTAGAAAGCATCATGATCCCCATTTTTAAATAGTGATATGAAACCTTTAATAAAGAAAAATACAGGCAGCCCCTGGGTTGAAATGAGACCTTTTCCTAACAGTGTTATCTTTAACAATGTCAAATTTGTAGGTCAGAAAGAACAGGTGCACTTGATACTAAGGAAATCCGATAACAGAGGTTAATATACTTAGCAGTTAGCTAAAAACTTGGTGGCCCTGCAGAAGAAAAGCTATACCAGCCAGCTTCCATAAAGAATACACCTCTGGGAACACTATGGGCAGTTTGATTCTTTCCTATAGGGTCATGTGAGTTGGCACTGACTTGACAGCGCTAAGTTTGCATTTTTCGTTTGGTTAGTTAAGACTGGAAGCCTTCTCGGTGATTTAAAAGCTGCATGTAGTAGAAGTGAAGGTAACTGTGAGGAAGAACAGGTTGGGATTAGGGGGCAGATGAGCACTGGTACAATTTTTTTCAGATTGAGGGCAATTTTATATAACATAGAAGGGAAAATTGGATGTTGGAGTCTTAAATGGGAACGGACCAGCCTGTAGAGACTATGTACTTTTAAAAGCTGTATATGCATCCGTAAGGAATGGTATACTAGAAAATCTTGTACCTGGCTGATTTGGTTAAGATTTCTTTAAACTCTCGAAAGTTTCAAATACCTCCAAATGTTTTATCCTTGAAGACTGGTCAAAGATCAAAGTGCTGTGGGGGAAAACTATTCTCATTTGAATGAACTTAATCCTGTTTGTACCATTTTCTCACAGGTCTTCTCAGACTTTAGGAAAATATTAGATACCCAAGACTTGTTTAAAATTAGTCAATGGGCACTGGGCCTCCACACAAGTACTCCCTCAACACAAGAACACTTTCTTCTATTAACCTGGCATTCCATGATGCGCACCTTCCTGACACGATCGCTGAAGACCAAGGGGTGCATAAACAAATGTGGTGAAGAAAGCTGATGGTGCCCGGCTATCAAAAGACATCGCATCTGGGGTCTTAAAGGCTTGAAGGTAAACAAGCGGCCATCTAGCTCAGAACAACAAAGCCCACATGGAAGAAGCACACCAGTCTGTGTGATCACAAGGTGTCGAAGAGATCAGGTATCAGGCATCAACAGAATAAAAAATCATATCATTGTGAATGAGGGGGCGTGCAGGGTGGAGACCCAAAGCCCATCTGTAGGCAATTGGACATCCCTTACAGAAGGGTCGTGGGGAAGAGACGAGCCATTCAGGGTGCAACACAGCAACGATGAAAAATACAACTTTCCTCTAGTTCCTAAATGCCTCCCCCCCTCCCCCCCCCTATCATGATCCCAATTCTACCTTACAAATCTGGCTAGACCAGAGGATGTACATTGGTACGGATAGGAACTGAAAACACAGGAAATCCAGGGCAGATGATCCCTTCAGGACCAGTGGTGACAGTGGCAATACCGGGAGGGTGGGGTGGAAAGGGGGAACCAATCACAAGGATCTACATATAACCTCCTCCCTGGGGAATGGACAGCAGAAAAGTGGGTGAAGGGAGATGTCAAACAGGGCAAGGTATGACAAAATAATAATTTATAAATTATCAAGGGTTCATGAGGAATGGGGATAGCGGGGAGGGAGGGAAAAATGAGGAGCTGATGCCCAGGGCTTAAGTGGAGAGCAAATGTTTTGAGAATGATGAGGGCAACGAATATACAAATGTGCTTTACACAATTGATGTATGTGTAGATTGTGATAAGAGTTGTATGAGCCCCTAATAAAATGATTTTTAAAAAATTAGTCAATGGGGCACACTAGGCATAGAGGAAAGACTACTGGTATGTTAATAATCTTTTTAACCTTTTGAAGCTGGGTGAAAGTTATATTGGGTTTATTTAACTATGCTTTCCTCTTAAAATTGAAAACTTACACAATAAAACATTTAAAAAGCTACCCTGAAATAACACTTCATTATTTGGAATAACTTCTAACGTGCAAGTAATAATCATGACAAGACGCACTGCCATGGTGGCTTCATAGGAACAACAGTGCGGATGGCGCAGGACCCAGCAGCACATCAGGGACGGTTTCCTTCTGCTGTGTGGGGGTCACAATGACACCTGACTTGATCTATTATTTTCGAAGTACTATTGCTTGATCATATGAGGTTAAAAACATACACAAAACATAACAGTCACACAAAACAAGGGCTAATGTAATGTAAAGACAGCCTTTACGCCTAAATGGCTTCAACTTTCCAATCAAACTGTGAAAAACCATCTCATATGTCTGAAACCATTGGGGAACTGAGTGGAGAGTGGGGCTCCATGTCTTCCATCAGCAGTAAAAGCAACTACGATTCTTTGTTATTTCATACTCTGCTGTCCTACATCTACAATTACTTGGAACAAAAGAGGCCCACTGCTTTGAGCAAGTTACACACCCACTGGTCTTAACCAGTGTCTTAACTGCTCAGCTACAGCACATCAGGGAAAATGGGTCACTCCTTACTATACCAAGGGCTAGTGCAAACAGAATAAAATGAGGGTTAGATAAAAATATAAAATGTTTACCTGTTACAACTAATTATACTCCAAGTGAAAGCATACTCAATTACATGAAAATAAAAATTTTATCTAGATAAAATTTATATAGATACTATACAAGAGCAATATTAGACTGTTGGATAAACCCAAATTCTTTTTCTTAATTTGTCATTTCAAAATCAATTTCAGAGATTTAAATATGAATAGTAGAAAAAAAAAACCCAACAACGCCAAATTCTTTTTTCCCCCTTTTTTTCCAAACTCTCTTACAAGGTAATTGAGCTCAATATACTGTTAGATAATGCTGTCTCTAATACATTCAAATTTCAAAATTACATTTAAGCAGACAGTGGCAGAGCTGGGAAAAATAGTTCTGTTGTTAGTTCTGAACAAATCATTTGTATGGCAATGCTGAAACGTTCTTATCCTGAAATGCAAGAGAAATTTCAGAAGTTAGAGACTCTGAAATGAAGTTTGTGATTCTTGATATGGGCGCTGCACTAATATTTGCCTATAATTTATAGTGTGTGTGAGATGTGGAACCATTTGGCTTGTGGTGGTGGAAAATTTAGCCCTCTCTAGAGATGGGTGATGGCGAAACAATGTGACTGCAGTACCTGGTACCACTGAATTGAACACAAGAGAGATGTTGAACTGGTCATGTACTAGATATAGTTTTGTAACATTATAAACATCTTACTTAAAGTACATATGCATTAAAAACAATACTTATATTTTCCTTATAATGTAATAAACTTGAGGCAATTTATAAATAGTCGGTGAATGCAAATTTTATGTTATTGCTATCTGTCCCAGAGGTAGCCCCCCACTCATGGTGACTACATGTACTACGTACAAAAGGCTGTCCACACCGCTGTGCTTCACAGGGTGTGCAGAAATTAGCTGACTTTTAGAAGCAGATCACAGGCCTTCTTGGTACATTCTAGTCTGGCAGCACTGCTTAGAGCTGTATGATGTCATAGCAACCCACCCTGACAGAGGGATCTGCAGGAAGTACTTTGGTCTGGAACTGCACTAGGTTCTTCTGCATGAAAAGAAAGGATTCTACCACCGAACTACCAAAAATTTGATAATTGGTAGTTATTCAATATTTACAGCAAAGCTTTCTGGGCGGAAATATTTATTTCAATTAAAGAATAGGTTTATAGTAAATAACTTTTTAAAGTTTTATTTACTTATAGTTCTTAAATTCATCTTTATCATCAAAACAACCCTATAGAACAACTGTCAATGATCGTTCACAAGTCTCTGAGCTTCAACGTTTTTTATAACAAGGACTTTGAACTAATATTAGGGGCTGAGGTGGAGGGCAAATGTTTTGAGAATGATGAGGGCAGCGAATGTACATATATATATGTGCTTGACACAATGGATGGATGGATTGTGATGAGAATTGTCCGAGCCCCCAATAAAATAATAAAAAAATAAAAAGGACTTTGAGACTGGCCACTCAAGTTCATTTTAAGTTTAAATACTGTGATTCTGTCAATGTATTTAAATGATTTTAAAGCATGTCAGTGAAGATAGAGAGATTTTAAATTCAAGTTAGTATTATTCAAATCCATGTTTGCCATGGTAAGAAAATAAATGTGCTAAATGATGTTGGAACAATTTTCATGTAATAAAGGTAAACGAAGATATATATAATCACCAGAAACAAAAATACTCAGATATGTCCAAATAATAGTAAGCGAATTTATATATGCTATGCTTTCTAAAAATCTAGCTCAGCCAATTTTAAGATTTTTCAGGTATTATTTTTACATAATTCTCTAGTTTAATATAATTAGTAAAATTTCTTGGGGCCAAACAAAGCATTTGGTGGTTTTCTACTTTTTTTAAAATTTTGGATTATAATTTTGGTCATTCCATGTTACTTTTAATTGAATTGTTTCTAAATTTCAAAGCCACAACTCAAACTCCATGAAAGTAAAATTTTATAGTAATGTATATCATGACACTGCTGAAAGACATAAGAAAAACCTAAGGTTATTTACCTACAGATACTGCAATTCCTACGTAAACCACTGTAGTAATTAAAATGGCCAAAAGGGTTCCTTTGGGTATGGCTGACTGAGGATCCTAAAAGACAAGAAAAATGTTTTAATCTACCTTGAGAAAGAAACATACAGACTATTTTTTTTCCCATCTCAGCGCAGCGCTTTTCAATACTTACTGCAAGATCACCTGAGATATTTGCTCCAGCCAGAATACCAGTTGCAGCAGGAAAAAAGATGGCAAACATAGAAAAGAAAGTCTCTTCCTCTCGAAAATCTGGTCCGAAGTTCTCAGAAAATATTTCTGCTGTAGAGAACAATGTGTTTTAGGGGGAAGTCAATTAGCAGCAGGCTTAGAACACAATCATTTAGGTTAAGAGTAACAGGTTGGTATAGATGATACACAACTGCTCTTCAATTAGCCACCAGTCCATTTCTGTAGGATTCATAATTACCTTGGGGCAAATATTATAACCAAGTACCAGTGCTGGGTTTTTCCTGTATGAGGAAAGAGTTAACCACCAAAAGGATATCTGATCTGGGTCCTGCCCTACAGTTTTGACATGTTATACTCAAACAAATAATACAAAAAGTGTTCAGAAAGCCCATGGCAAAATGGAATTAAAAGATAATGGAATTTCTCCAGAAGTATTTTAAAGTCCTCTTATATCATCATTTCTAGTGAAAGTTCACACAGCAAATTCGGTGCCTATTTGACAATTTCTACATACATAATTTAGGGACATGAGTGACAATTTCACCTCTCAGCATGCTCTATAGTTGAATTCTGATTGTTAGATTTTCAATTGTATTGTTTTCCAAATTTTCAGTAATTGTTTGGGGTCTGCTTTAGAGTAACTGCAGGAGCCCTGGTGATGTAGTGGTTACACATTGCCTTGCAGTGTGAAACTACTAGCCCAGCGGTCCTCAAATTTTTTAAACAGGGGGCCAGTTCACTGTCCCTCAGACCGTTGGAGGGCTGCACTATAGTTAAAAAAACAACAACAACAAAAAACTATGAACAAATTCCTATGGGCCCAGGATGAGTCGGCTGCTAAGCAGGACAGGCAGCAGCGGCAAAAACACCCAGCAGGCCGGATAAATGTCCTCGGAGGGCCGCATGTGGCCCACGGGACAGTTTGAGGACCCCTATAACTAGCCCCTCAGTAGGAGAAAGCCAGGGCTTTCCATGGAGTCCGTCTCAGAAACCCACGGGGGCAGTTCTACCCTGTGCTACAGGGCCACCATTAGATGGCATGGACTCCAGGCAGTGAGCTTGGAGCAACTGTTGAGTTTGGAATTTTCTAAAGGAACACCATATTCCAGGGTCCCATCCTTTATTTGGTATGACTACACACTTCTGACAAATATTATCTCTAGTCTAAGTGTAAATCAAAGCACTAGTAATCTGTTAATCTCAAAAGTCAAAGAAGAAAAGAGGCAGAGAAAAAAAAGGCACCACTTTTCATGTGGAAAATGATTTTCTGCAGCGCTTCCAACTTACATATAAGCTTCCAACTGATATTATTATCCAGTTTGCAGTATTTTCCATTATTATCAGTTTTCCAAGTGGGGACCTACTTGATTTTTGAGGATATTCATAGTCTGCCAGATGATTTAACTAAGGCACTTGAGGCAAATATCCTTTCCATTTGTGCAATAAAGCAGTGCTTCAAGCAGTCTCACAGTTTGAATCTACACATTTTAATCTATTCTAAAAGGCAGACTTAATCAATCAACTGACAGCCATATTCCATATCAAGCACCTAGTGTGTGCCAGGTCCTATACCAGAGATAGCTACTAGCCCAAAGAACTCAGAGATACAGTGTTAACAATATGAACATTGCTCTTGCCAGTCATGGAACGTGAAGTCTCATTCGGGGGTCACAAATAAGCAACAGTTGACAGTTAAACACACTGATGGAAATGAGGTTTTATGAAAAAAAATAAAAGAGGGAGAAATTAACTTATGCTAAAGAAAAATAGAACTGAAAAGATGATATGTAAACAGGCGATAGTGAGCTATAATTAGCCATGTAACTGATCATGGGAAGCACAGTTAAAGGCTCTGGGCTATGAAAATGGTTAGCTGTTTTGAGAAAGTAAATAAAGGCCAGACTGTTAATGAATGGAGAAATGAGATCAACAAGCTCAAATGAGACTGATGAGCTCAAATGTAAAGATGTAAAGTTTAGGCCTATCACCTTATATTACTACAATTGAAAAGTGAACAAAGCAAGTGAGTGATTTTCCTCTAATTCTGTAGCATACAGAATTAGAGGAAGCAAATTTAGGTTACATAAAGGAAGCAAAATTAAACGGTTACTGAGTTTAGGCAGGTGGCATCACAAAAATATTTTAAATGAACTAAATGTATTTAATTACAAATGTTTCCGTACCTCAAGTGTCCATTAACTGATAAAAATTTGGCTTATTCATTATTAGCCGCTACAATCAAATCAATTCTCATTCAATTAACAACCCTGTATAGGGTTTCTGAAACTGTAAAATCTTTACGAGAGCCACTGGCCTCCATGTTTTTCTGAGAGAGGCTGGTGGGTTTGAGCTAGCAACCTTACGGCTGGCAGTTCAATATTTATCTGACATGCTAGCACTCAAATATTATGGAGTATTATTCAGCAATACAGAGAAATAAATTCTGAAGCATGCTACAAAACCCATCAATCTTAAAAATGTCATACCCAGTTAATTACCACAAAGAGACAAACATTCTATGATTTTACTCATATGAATTACTTGTAACAAGCAAACAGATGGACACCAAGTTTATTTGTGGTTACCAAGGAATGGAAATCATTGTTTAAAGTTTGTTTTAGAAAATGAACACCTTCTGGAAACATGACAGTGACGGTGACTCACTACAGTGAATGTAATTAAGGCCACTGACTTAAAACTGTTAAAATGGTAAGCTATTTCGTTAAGCTATTTCATTACACACATATGAAACTGAAAAACGAAACCAAACTTTGCTACTCATGACTTCTGAAATTTCAATAGTAACAAGATTAACTTCGCTTCAATGCTATGGAATAAAATATGCATCTTTAAAAAAACTCCATTTTACTTACATTTATAACCAAAGAAACCTTTGGGTTTCTTGCTATCCAATGGGATAAATGTTCCTATGATGAAATCAGCAATAGCAAGTAGCAGAATCACCAAAAGAACAATTTGAGCCTGGAATGTTAAACAAGAAAAATGGAAATCAATCCTTTCCCTGTGTCTACATTGATCCAATTTCAAGAGACTCCAACTTCCCCAGGCCTCACGCAATGAAAGAACTATCCTGTCTTCAACACACTGCTAGAAACAAAGCACTCATGCAAAACTAGACCATCTCTAAGGGTAAAAACTATGTGTATGCTAATCAGACCCCAGGTAGGATGGAATCTGATTCTGTCACCATTAATTTGTACAAAAGAATGTAAATTACTTAATTGTATACAAATATGGCTTCCAATGAGTAACAACCACGGGAAAGCTATTCTTTCAGACGGTCTTCATTTTTGGTTAGGTAAATATTATCAAGCTCATAAATATGTATGTGACTCTTGTATGACCTACTAAAGAAGACCTGGAGCCCTGGGGAGTGACTTTGGAGCCCTCAGTAAGGAGCACATGTGTGGGCATCTCCAGGAGACAAGATCAGTGCTCTCACATGCTCTAACTCAAAGACACGGAAACATTTCCCTGGGGCTTTTCTAACAGATTAACATTTTGTTTTTTGCCCTGGAAATTGTGGCATTGGCTTTCATACAGATAACTTCTGGTATTTCAATAGCAAGGAATAAGATTAGCCTCAGCTTATTTTCCTGTGTTTATTTTTAAAGTGACCTTTTAGTAAATTACAGAGCCAAGAGTTTAATTTGGGCTCCCTAATATACTAACCTAAGCATTTTTAGGTAAGTACAAATCAAGGTTGGGGTGGAGAAGTGCAAAGTTCAAAATTTAGGAAGTACTGTGTTTAACTGGATCCTAGACTTGTAGCTCCAAATATTCCTATCTTGTCAATTACACAAAAACTTTACACATTAACTCCTGTGAAAATGACCACTTATGAATCACAAGAATCTGAAACTACTACTACACTTTAGAACATTCCCAAAACATGAGCTATTAAAGTTCACCTGCTAAATAACTGCAGGTGTTCCTAGCATTACTTACTTTTGCTTCCCATTCCATTCCAGCTAATGAGATACCTAGAAGCAACACAATGGTAATGGCTCCAATAATTCGGATATCATTGATATAATCTATCATAAGTATGGAATGTTCCTAAAAAGGAAAGATTACAAAATTAATAAGCGGTATTAGTTTACATAAACTCTTTAAATTTTTGAAACATTTGAGATATAAAAGCACCATAAATTCAGAAGTTGAATAAATGCTTATTTAATGAATAAGCCTAAATCAGGAAGCCATGGTGATGTAGTGGAAGAATGCTCAACTTTCTCCAGGGGCTCAGCTGGTAGGTTCGAAACACAATCCTTCCAGTTAGCAGCTGAGTGCTTTAACCACTGCGCCAGGTTCCTTAAAAATAATAAGTCGTGAAATCTAAAACTAATATAGTTAATTCCTATTTACTATACTATTGCGGTAGCATGAGAACAATTACAAGGATGGCGCAGGACCGGGCAATGTTTTGTTCTGCTGGGCATCCAATTGCTATGAGTCGGAATTAACTCAACAACAGCTAACAACCACTGAGTGGCATCCAAGTTTCTGAAGACAGCCAAGTCTGATAGAATGTTAATACTGTCAAACAGTGTGGAGGTGCCCGTATGACAAAGTGGGCTACACGCAGGGCTGCTAGCGACAGGATCAGCAATTCAAACTCATCAGCCAGGCTATGCTAGAGAGATCCTACGTTTCTGCTCCTGTAGAGTTTCAGCTTCAGAAACCCAAAGGGGTAATTCTATTCTGTTCTCAGGGTCTCTGTGCGCCAAATTGACTCAGTAGCAGCGAGTTTGCTTTTGGTTTTGTAGTTAACATAGACCAAGTAACAAGCAAATAAAAGCTAAGTAGTGCTGACAGAATTTTTTTTAAGCTAAGTGGTAGAAATATATTTTATATCTATTGTGATTAATGAACTCATTTTCCGACCTGGGCCGGTTCACCCCTCCTTAGGCAACCTGGTGGCCCCCGCTCCCGGGAGGTCACCATATTGATGCCGAACTTAGTGCGGACACCCGATCGGCATAGCGCACTGCAGCCCAGAACTCCTGGACTCAAGCGATCCTCCAGCCTCAGCCTCCCGAGTAGCTGGGACTACAGGCGCGCGCCACCACGCCCGGCAATGAACTCATTTTTAATGTGTCTTTTATCTTGCCTTAGGAAAACAAATGAACATACCTTCATGCTGTTGCCCCACACTGTTCTCATTCCATTAAGAAAAATTATTTGTAGTTTAATTTTTCTTTTTAAAAAAGCTGTTAGCTCCCAAATAGTTAAGAATTGTGATATCCTAATCAACCAAGTAAACAGATATGTATGAAATATACAACCTAAAACAAATTGCCACTGAGATGATTCTCTAACTCAGGCCCTAGACAGGGCTCCTAAAGCTTAGCTTGTAAATCTTTACAGAAGCAGAGTTTCTGAGACTGTACCTGTTTATTGGAGTAGAAAACCCCATCTTTCTCCTGAGAAGTGGCTGGTGGATTCAAACTGCCCACCTTGTGGATTCCCGCCCAATGCAAAACCAGTATGCCAGCAGGGGTTTGGAATCCTAAGGGGCACTTCAATTCTGTCCTGCAAGGTTTTTATCAAGTCGACAAACATGTTTGGTGGTTCTGGTTGACTGTACTACATATGACTGTAAAAGTTACACCTAATCCAACCTGAACAAACACACGTGTTGATTGAGGTTCGCCTCATCTAATGGTGTGGAACCCTATTTCACTCCTCCTGCTTTTATTACACACATCCCAATGACTCAAGATTTTCTCTCCAAAGTGTTCTCTTCTAAACTCCAACTGCTCTCCTTGGCTACGTATCACTCTAGTTCCTTAAGCTAGCTAATCTAAAACTAAACTTCCCCAGAATCTGTGCTACAATAAATGCCATGGACTTCAACCTGTATGTTGAAGTTGGACATGTGCAAATAAATTGGACATTTTCATCTTTATTCAATCCCCAAATCTAACCACTTGTTTATAAAACTCCTAACATTCAACCACACCTTACTAACCCTGCTGGCCAGTTTTCATAAGCCACCATCTCTTCTCTCAGGACTACTTTTTTATTTTCGTAGAAATCTGTCTTTATTTTCCATCAATCTTATTTCCATTTTGTAGACATCATGGAAGACCAGCTCAAGACCACTCGGTGGCCATTCCTACCCACTCAGTGGCTTCAGCAGTGGGAGCTGCAGACCGTCTTCAGTTGCGGGCTGAGCGCTCCAGCCTTCAGTGGGGAACTGCTGGATCAGCACTGAGGGCACCAGCAGCCGTCCCCCTCACGCTGAACCACAGTAACCTCGGACGCAGAAGCAGTTCATTCACCCTGAAACTCTTCCTTGGCCATGGCCTTTCAGCTCTTCCTTTTTAATCTCCTCTGAATCTCTGTAAAATTGGAAGTCAGACATGACCTCCCACGGGTATTCCCGGGAGATGGTGCTCTGCATGTGCAGAACTTCCCGGGCCAGCATCCCCATCAGGCCCACGGAGTGAGCTCCCTTGTTGTTACATGGGATGGCAATGTCCATGTAGCGTAGAGAATCTGTGTTACACAGAGCAATGGTGGGCAAGTGAACGTCAGAGGCCTCTGCGAGGGGCTGATGGTCAGCCCTGGGGTCAGTCACCACCAGAAGCCGTGGCTCCCGGAAGGCTGCCTGATCTGGTTAGTGAAGGCTCCGGGAGTGAAGGGCCCAGCAACTGGAGTAGCTCCAGTGGCGGGAACAAACTTCAGCACAGCGCGCTGGCCTGTGTTCCTGGAAGATGACGCTGACGTCAGCAGGGTTTTCAATGGCAACAATGGCGCGAGCTGCCAACAGGAGCTTCTCCCAGGTCCTCTTCAGGTTTATGATGGAGATGCCATCACTTTCCCTTTGCAGATGCATTGTCCCACCTGGAAGTCAAGGGTGGTGCCACCTAAATGGGCTCCTGCAGCAAGGAATTTGAGGACATCCTCCTCCTCCAGCTGCAGGACGTCAATGGCTCCACACACTGTGAAAGTTCCCCCTTTAAGTTGTGCCAGGAACTAGGACAAAGTAGGGACCCTGCTCTGGGTAGCGCGGAAAGGCAGGACAACTACCATTAATTGACTGATGTTCTCCCTGTGTGAACCTTTTGAATCTATGCTCTATTGTGGTCAGATGTTTCTCTGGGGCCTAAATCTGACCTTGTAGCGGTCCCCAACATAACACTCAGGGAATTTTATGGTGAAAACAGTGAAGAAACAAACTCAAACTCAACCAGACCCTTCTGGACTTCATCTTGCTGCTTTATGATTCAGCCGTATTGAAATATTTGGTTTCCTTAATGCATTAAATTCTATCACTTCCAGAATTTTGTTTCCTTTACTTTTCCCATTCTAATGCTAGTATCTAGATTCTTCCTCAGAGGACCCTTCTCTAGGTGCTCAAACACCCCAGTCCCTAATAGTCGTTACATGCTTGCCCCACTTTTGTTGCAAAGACCATTCATGGCTACTGAATTCTCATACTTCCCCCTCCCCTTTTCTTTGGGGGTGGGGTGTCTCTATATTCTCAAACCAAGTGTCTTAAAGTACAATTTCTTGTACAACACTGTTCATCATGTTTCTAAAAAAGTGCGCGCCAAGTAGTCGTCAATTACAATGAGTGAATGAAGGGCTCAGAGCAGAGGGAATTACCTTAAGCAACTGTACCACCGTTTCTGCAAATCCAACCACATACATAGCAACTGCAACAGCATTAGCAAAAGCGAAGATAAGGCCAATTGCACCACCAAATTCTGGCCCTAGACTTCTAGATATTAGATAATATGCTCCACCTTAAAAAAAGGGAGGGGGGAATAGTGAAATTAGGATTTAAAGCAACAAACAACCTTATTTTGAAATGCTGAATTCCACAAAACAGATCACAAAGTACACACCTATAAAAAGGACAGCAGTTAAACTATGAGACAAGTGAGTGACTGGGTATATTTGCAGAAATAAAATGCCCCAAACAATACTTTAAAACTATTGTATTCATTAAGATAGCACCAGTCAGGGCATTTCCCCCCATTTTTAAGATCACCTTGTTATTTAAGTCCCAATTTCTCCTCTAAATCTTAAAAGTGGGTCTTCCCCCATCATATTACAGATAGCAAGGCTATTGTAGCTAAGTGCTTGTCCAATCACTTCTGATCATAGCTTGAGCCCATTTCGTAGCCATTGTGTCAATCCATCACCTCCAGGGTTTTCCCCTTTTTACTACCCTTCTGCTTTACCAAGCATATCTTTTTTCAGCAACTGGTCTCTCCTAATATGTCCGAAGTACTTGAGACTTACTGTCGCAATCCTTGCATTAAGGAGCACTCTCTGGCTGTACTTTTTCCAAGACAGATGTTTGGTTTTTTCAGAAATCCATAGTACTTTTAATATTCTTCACCAGCACCATAATTCAAATACATTGATATTTATCTTCAGTCTTCCTTACTTAATTCCAACTTTCACACACATATGAGGCAATTGAAAAAACCAATTGTTTGGCGGATAAAAAAGGGTTATAGTGTCGGGAAAACTGAACACACAAGATTATCAGAGGCTATGCAGAAAACACAACCATCTTGCTGAAAGTAAGGAGAACTTGAAGATCAAGGATGGCAGTCTTCCTAAGCACAACTCAATATACAGATCAAAATCCTCACAAATGGACCAGTAGGTGAAATTGTGATGAAAGTAGAAAAAAATTGAAGTTGCCAAGGATTTCGACTTGCTTGCATCCACAATCCTCATGGAAACAGTAGTCAAGGGATCAAAGAACAAATTGTGCTGGATGAATCTGCTACACAAGACCTTTTGAAAGTGTTGAAAGGAAAGGTGCTTACTTTGAGGACTAAGGTGCCCTTACCTAAGCCATGGTATTTTCAATAGCCTCATATGCATGTGAAAGTTGGACGCTGAATAAGGAAGATTGAAGAAGAATCAATGCGTCTGAATTATGGTGCTGGCAAAGAATAATTCAAGTTCATAATCTACCTACAGAACAAACAGATCTGCCTGGAAGAAGCACAGCCAGAATGCTCCTTCAAAGCAAGGATGGGGAGCGGTTGTCTCAAGTACGTTGCAAGAAGAGATCAGTCCCTGGAGAAGCACATCATGGTTGGTAAACAGCGGAAAAGATGAAAGTCCCCGACAAGATGGCACAGCGAATGCCCACAATGGGCTCTACCATGAGAACAATTGTGAGCAGGACCAGGTAGTATTTTGTTCTCTTGTACATCAAGTTGCTATAAGTTGAAACCATCTGATGGCCCATAACAACAACTCAAATAACAACACCTATGAGAGGACCAACAAGGTAACATTGCCCAAAAGCAAATAGGAGACACAAGAGTCCATGGAACACAGATAAATGGACAGAGAACCAAGGGTGAAAATGGAGAGTTCTGACACACAGTGATAATCACAGAAAAAAGCCTGTGTACAAACAAGTCAATAGAAACCTAATTTGCTATGTGAACTTTCACCAAAAGCACAATAAAACGTTCAAATCTGACATGATTTCAATAGTTTATTGTAGTATGATAGGGTGTGCTCTGGTGGCACTGTGGAATACAAATTAGGCTGCTCACTATTCAAATTCACCAGTTGCTCTGTGAGAAAAAGATGAATCTGCCTGCTCCCATAAAGATTTAGTCCTAGAAATCCTATTTAGGGTCACAACAAGTTGGTACTGTGAAAACTGAACTTGCTAAATATATATTATGTACTATATATATACATATAAATATACACACACTTATGTGTTTTATTGTCTGCTCTTCTTACCCATACAAATTATAAGTGTAATTTACATTAATTATGCATTAAATAAGATATGCTTCAAGACTACAGAATCATGTCTACACGTTAGGTTTCAGAAAAATAACAGCTACTATGATCACCTAGAACATAAGCTCTATGAGACTGGTCTGATGTGGACACGCACAGTGATTATCACAAAGGAAGTGCTCCACAATTACTTGCCGATTAAAATACAAATAATACTGAAAACTCTATCTTAATGCATGGAATAGCAGGGTTTATATTGCCTCTATGTTTTCAAACTACCTTCCAATTTTATACAGCCTGAGTTTTTATTTGAAAGAGTATTGGTCTATACTTTCAAAAAACTTAGTTCAGGAATATTCCACCCCCGCCCCTTGCATTCAGCCCTCAAAAATACAGTTTCCATTGAATGGATTCCACCTTATGGGAATCCCATGAGCGTCAGATTCCTAGACCATGCTCCATCCATTGTCAGTAGAAGTTTGTGTGCTGTCTTGTTGACCAGGTTTCAGCAGAGCTTCCAAAATGAGGAAAGCTATTAAAAGGCCTGGTGATTAATTAGTCAAAGGAATTGACCCATAGATTGCAATGGTCTGATCTGCATTCAGTCGTGAACAGTGCTGGACCAAGCAGCATTTGTTCCCACGGTTCATGGGGTCATCAAGAGTTGTGGGCCAAGTCGACAATAGCTATCGAGTATTCTCCCACGTGTGATACCAAAATTAAGCCAAACTTACTGCCACTGAGTCAATCCCAACTAACAGTAACCCTATAGAACCGAAAAGAACTGCTCGTAGGGTTTCCCAGACTAGAAATCTCTATAGGAGCAGACCTCATCTGTCTCTGGGGGAGACGTTGTGGGGTAGAGGTGGCGTGTGTGCCAAGCTGTGGTGAGTAGGTTACTAAGCCACAAGGTTTCCAGGGTAAATTCAGAGGAGATAAAAGAAAAAAAATTCATAGAATGTCTCATCAAAAAACACAGGTGACAGTAACTATCTGTGATGCAGCTTATTTATTCTGTAAAGATCTCCAAAGTTATCAACTGAGAGGCAGAAAAACAAACACCATCTAGCAAAGGCTCAGTTAGTAATCATGGTACTTGCTTTAAATTAATGATTTAAAAACAATTTATTTACTTTGGTTTTTCCTACAAGTTTCATTACTCTGGCAGAGTGAAATTTGAAAACTATCCATAAACCAAACTAAACTCACTGCCATCCAGCTGATTCCAATGTACAGCAACCCTCTAGGACAGGGTAAACACCCCCGGCGGGTTTCTAAGACTGTTAACTGTTGAAAGGAGTAAAAACTCTTATCTTGTTTCCTAAAAACTGTCAACAGTACTGAAAAATAAAACAGTTTTCAGGTCACATCCTAAAAACCTATACCATAGGTTCCCATTCTTATTTGGCCTACACCTTTTCAGAAAAAATAAAATAAAAATTACTGAGCATCCCTTGGCAATTAAAAATGTTTGTGCCATACCACATAGGACAGGATAAAGTATAGGTATCTATTTTTTTCTCAGTCCTACCACCCCCTGCTTAGATTGTTCCAGCTCCCCGCAGGGAGTGGTGTCACCTATTTTAGGAATCACTAATTCATACCTTCACTGAGACTGAATTTATATGCAAAACCGTCCAGGATTTGTGCTACCACTGGCTTCATGCCTCATTGCTCTTAAATTTCACAACCTAGATTCCAAGGCTGAAGGATAAAGAGAAGTTACCTGATGACTTATCAATCTTCTGAAATAGCTACCATTTTTTCAACTTATTTCGAGTCCTACAGTAAAATGGATTGCTTTCACATGGCCTCTAGCTTTGACCTTGGTACCCCACCACATTACTGAGAAGTATGCAAACTGGGTGCATGGAACCCACCAATGAGTGTGGACAGCAAACTGCAACTTATTACTTCAAAGCCACCAGCTGCCGCTTTCTACTTTAATTACAGTCTCAGAAACCCACAGGAGCAGTTCTGCCTCATCACATGTGGTCTTGATGAGTCAGCATCACCTCGAAGACAGCTAGTTTTGTTTGGTAGTGTGATGGGTTATGAGTTTGGCTATTAACCTAACTGCATTCAGATACCAGTCCAGCAGCTAGAAAACAGTTGAGGTTTCTGCTCCTGTAAAAGATTTTCAGCCTGATCAGAGCACACAGGAGCATATGAAGGGAGAGGAAGAGAGAGTGGAACACATCCTAGCCCACCAAGGCCTGGGGGCAATATTCCCACTCAGAACAGCCAAAGCAGAGAGGACAATAGGGCCGGCCACACTACAAGACACAATGTCCCTCACTGACCCCGAGTGCTACGGGGTGCAACATTGGAGACAGTGCAGGAATTGGGTCCAATTTGACCCCACAACACTGAGGCAAAACACTAAGGGTGTGCAACAGAACTGCAAGGAGAACAGAGCAACAAAGCCCCCAGGGAATGCCAAAAACAGACTTTGGGGCCAGGGCGTGGTGCCCCATCAGACTCGACCAGAAAAAACTCCTAAAGGTCAACAAACAGACCTTGAACTATTTACAGGCTTTTCTTTATTTGTCCTTGGTTTTTTGTTGCTCTTTTGTTGCTTTGTTTTACTATGTCTTGTTTTTTGTGAATATTATCTCTGCAGGTCTAATAGATAGGTGAGATAAACAATCTGAAGGAGAAAACAAGGGGACCAACTATCCAGGAGGATATGGGAGAGGGGAAGGCAGGGGAAAGGAAGTGGGTGTTAACAAACCCAGGAACAAGGGAACAATAAGTGATCCAAAATAGATGGCGAGGAGGGTGTAGGAGGCCTGGTAG